CTATATCCATTATTGATGAAAAAGACAACAAAGTCAAAACATTCGAACTTATAGACAACCTCACCTTAGAGACAGTTTTGTGTCCTCTTGCACTCCTTAACATATGAAACAATATTTTCAATGCTTCCTCAACTCTCACACTGGTCATTTCTTCATGATAAAACAAGTTTGAACCTCAACAACAACAATAACCACTCAACTTACAGTAAAATCCAAAGTTATTGTGCATAACAAATTACAAAGGCAGTAAGTAATATATTGATAATCATCACTCACGAGCGGAGGTTCTGAGACCCACCCACCATAGGAACTCTATATACTTTCATTCAAAGCAGAGTAAATAATTAGAAGAAACAAATGGAGAGAAAAAAAAAAAAGAAAAAAAAAAAAAAACCCTGTCTTCCATGAGCGCACCAAGCACATTGAACTTGACTGCCACCTTGTTCGAGAAAAGCTTCAAGAAAAGTTGTTTCATTTACTCCCTATCCGCTCCACTGAACAGTTGGCTGACATCCTTACTAAACCTCTTGAACCTACTCCTTTTAACTACCTCTTATCCAAGCTGGGAGTTCTAAATATATACTCTCCAGCTTGCGGGGGGGTATTGGAGAAAATAGAGAAAAGAAATATAGAAGTAAAGTAGTTAGTAGTTTAAGTATTTTGTTGTTTTATTATCTGTTATTCTATTTTAATATTTCTGTTAATTAGATTCTGTTAGGATTAATTATTCCATTATGAGTTTTAGCTCTTGTATATATAGCCCTTCTATTGGTGTATACGAAGATGATGAACATACAAGAAGTAATTTTCTTTTGCTTTCTCTTCTACATACTGTCATAATCGTTTATGGTATCGTAGCTCTGCCTGTGAGAGCTCTGCCACGTATTTCCGCATTCATGGCTGAAGAAGAAAGAATCGAAGATCAACCAACCAAAAACCAGAATGGAGGCACCAACAATAATGCTGATCCATCCTCAAATCCTTATTATCTCCACCCAGGAGAGAATCCAGGTGCCATTATTGCTACTCCAAGTCTCGATGGGACAAATTACCACACATGGTACAAAAACATGAAGAGGGCACTCCAATCAAAGAATAAATTCAAGTTTGTAGATGGAAGCATCAAGAACCCAGGAACTTCACATCATCTTTATGATTCTTGGGTCAGATGTAACACCACTATTTTTGGGTGGATCACAAGAACCCTGTCACAAGAAATAGCTCAAAGTATAGTCTATTTTGAGAGTGCACAAGATTTATGGGAAGATCTCAAGGACAGATTCTCCAAGGGTGATTACTTTAGAATCTCTGACCTTCTTCAAGAAATACATTCCATTAAACAAGGTGATAGATCTGTGTCTACATATCACACTGAATTGAAGACTCTATGGGAGGAATTGGAAGTCCTTAGAGAAACACCTTCCTGCACATGCAACGTTAAGTGCAGCTGCAAATTTGCCAGCACTGTAAAAAGGAATGAAGAAGTTGAGTATGTTATTTGATTTCTCAAGGGTCTTAATGATCAATACAACACAGTGAGGAGTCAAATTTTGATGATGGAGCCGCTTCCTTCCATAAATAAAGCCTTTTCTCATGCTCTCCAACAAGAAAGACAATTGAGCAATCCAATCATCCAAGAATCAAGAGTTCTTGCAGCCACCACTGATACTGCTAATAATTGGAAAGGGAATTTTGTTGGGAAAGGTGGAGGATTTGCTAGCAAAAGTAGAAACAGATCCTTTGGTCGAAGTAACACACCCAATAAGGTTTAGATCGATTCAGCGGTTTGATTCACTGTTCAGAGAAGTTCCTCCGGTGCACAAATTGGGATTGAATAATGGACGTGTTCTTCTCGGCTCCCAAATTACGAGGTTTTATACAGGAGCTTTTCTGTAAATTAAGCCCCTCTAAATTATTTTATAAGAAACCTTCAAATTGGTTATAAGAAAATGGCTAAAACTCTAATTTCATCCTTTATAATATTTATTTGTTTTAATTTAGTCTTATTTTAATTTTTTATTTTAATTTGGTCCCTAATAATTTAAATTAGTATAATATCGGACTTCCGTCCAAATTATTTAAATGAAGTTAATTATTGGTCACGTGGATGTCACGTAGATGCATAGGTGGATGCCAAATTTCTTTAATGCATCTGAAACTAGAATGAGACGTTCTGGTTGCACTCTTGGTGTGTTAATTTTGTACCTGGAACGGGTCGTTCCAAATGCAAAATTAACACACTAATAGTGCAACTAGAACGGGCCGTTCCCGTTTCAGAACGGGTCGTTCTGGTTCTAGAATGTCAAACACAAACGGTCGATGATTATAGTTCACGGTTGTGAATCGTGCAAGGAAAAAGACCCAAGGTACAAAGCATTTCAAATACTAAATTTGGTAATATTGTCAATGGGGATTGAGAACTTCAATTGCTAAACATTTTGGCTATACAGTGTATCATTAAAGACAATGCAGTGTATCACTAAGGACAATGGTAGCAGGTTTTATTTCATTGTTAGACAAACTGGAGTGAATCACTTACTACCAAATTGACACTATACAGTCAAGGATGAAACGACATGGTGTTTTCCCTTGAAGTCATTGATCGATGTACCCCAACAACAACAACAATCTGTTCTTAAAGAGGTACAACCTGAAGTAGAGAAAGAGGACACGTAGGACCAACATTTCACCACACAACCACATGTACATGTATATAATGTTGATATCTTATCAGTCATTCAGTGTTATATGGTGGATAAGATGTATTATTGGCACCTTCAACATTATCGAGATGATTTCCCTTCTCAATAATTTTTTTGAACTTTCTTAGTATATGTTATGTTATAAATTTTTGTTTTCAGTCTTTGAACCATATTTCTGTTTTTGAATTTATGTTATGTTATGAATTTTTATTTTCAATTTTTGAATCACATTGCGACATTTTGTTAAACATATGTATGTGGTTAGCGTTTTGGAACGACCCGTTCTGAATCTAGAACGGCCCGTTCTATAACCAGAACGGCCCGTTATGGTTCCAGAACGGTCTGTTCTGCTGTACTCGTGGTGTGTTAATTTTGCATCTGGAACAACCTGTTCCAGATGCAAAATTAACACACAACATGTGCAATCAGAATGGACCGTTCTGGTTCCAGGTGCATTCAAAAAATTTGGCATCCACCTATGCATCTACGTGGCATCCACGTGGCATCCACGTGGCCAATAGTTAACTCCGTTTAAATAATTTGGACGGAAGTCCGACATTGCAATAATTTAAATTATTAGAGACCAAATTGAAACCAAAAATTAAAGTGAGACTAAATTGAAACAAACAAATATTATAAGGGACTAAAATAGATTTTTAGCCTAAAATTTTTTATAACAAACACATTTTTTTAAAATATATATATATATAACTTCAAAGAATCGCCAATGTCATTACACGAGTTTTTTTTAAGACTAATATGTCTGTTGTTTAAGAAAAAACAGTAATATGATTGATATTTACGATTTTTAAAGAATAATGTAAATTTTTGTGTTATAAGAGTTTAATTTATGGTATTTTGATTGGCATTAAACTTATTTGATCATAAACATTTTTGTCACTTGTCGCAACATATGAGTGCATAACTTCATAAAAAGTAATATTATATGCTTAATAATTATTTTTATTTTTGTATTTTTTTATTATTAACAATATTTCTGTTCATAATAAATAAAATGATAGAGAGAAATAGATAAAAAATAATATTGTAAAGTTTTTGTATAATTTTTTATTATACATATAACATTAGTCTTTCACAAATTACTATTATTTACAAAACTTAGCACATTTTGTAACCAAAAAAAATTAATACATTCAATCTAAAATTAAAAAAAATCACAAAAATTTGTAATAATTAAGGTACCAAACTCGTTACTTATTTAAATAAATAAAAACTAAATACATAAGCAATTAATCCGGATTAATAGCATCTAAAAAGTATTATATAATTTGATTTAAAAACATAAAATAAACTAAAATATAATATTTTTTATGGACATGAAACATTTATGCTTGAGTGAGATGGTAATATCATTATAGATGACTTATAAATATTTAATATAACTATATATTCAAGATTTCACCTCGATACTATTAGTTAATCTGAAATTTGTATCATTGATCTATACACTCAATAATAACTAAAATATAATACAATGAAAAATCTTAATTTTTAGATAAAATTTTGAAATCATTAACATGCATTACCAAGAAAAGAAAATATTTTTTTATGATTTAACTAAAAATACATTTACAATGTGTTTTTCTTATATATATTATCACAATCATATTCATTTTTATAATAATGTTAAAATTCATATATACAAGAAAATTAAATTTGTAAATCATATCTATATATAAACGTGATTCCTTATTTTTGTATAAACTTTATTTTGGACAATTTTAACTCTTTGTCTATACTTATATATAAAGACAATTGTTCATTTTTGTGTACACTTTATTTTGGACAATTTTAACCATTTATAAAACTATATAATAATAAATAAAAGTAAAAAAAAAAAAAAAAAAAAAAGTCTTTTGATGTATTAATTTTTTCTTTAAATTTCTTGATAACTATCCATCATCTTCACTAATTGTATGTGTATTCATCAAGAAAAAGTTTTGGCAGAAGCCGGTTGTGCTTGGTTGAGTAGGTGAAAGTGAAAAGTTTGAAGACGGAAAATTATAGAATAAAAATCACTTTGCACAAGTTTTGTATCGAAAACACAGGTATATAGAAAAGAATATTACTTCGTAATCATTCTAGACAGAAAATCATGTCACTAATTTTCAAATTTAACTTCCTCAACCAAGTATACCCATAATGTTCATGTTCTAGCATCGCAGAGTGATAACCAAATGTGTCTTTTTTCTTTTTATACAAAAAGAGTGAAATTTGAAAAGTAGGTGGTTTCAACAACGAATTTTAACATCATTTGATATGAATCCAGTGAGCCAATAAGATGAGTAATTACCATGCTATGCATTTTCCCCACTAGACACTGAACAACAATTATACACTGAGCAGTCTCTATTTGATGAAAAAATTCAAAGAATGCCTCGACAAATTAGCTAATCATTCCTATATAGCTTGGAACTTGGAAGTAATGATGAAATTCAATTGATCATTACTATAACCATCCCTCGCACGTCTCTATCATCAACAGTCATACATACACACACGATGATCAGCATCATGTTCCAACTAAGACATTGCAGAGAAGGATATACCAATGTAAACTTGGGAACTTGAATACCTCAGACAAGTGAAACTAAAAACTCTGACTTATAAAGTGCTTCTTTGCCTTCTTTTCTGCTTGAAATCCGCTGGACCAGCCAGACAAGTTGATGGTGAATTCAACTCCTCTAGAAGTTCTGTTGCCAACTCAACCTTCCCTGTTTTGTTTAAATTATGGATTAGTGATCGATAGATATATGTTGAAGGAAGAACCCCCTTCAGTTTCATCTCCCTAAAGCATTTCAATGATTCCTCAACATTTCCTGCTCGGCCAAAATTCTCAATTATTGCAGTATATGTAAGCAGATCTGGTTCAATCCCATTCTCAGTCATTTCCTTAAAATACGCAAAGCACATATCAAATCTTCCAGCCTTCCGCAAGCCATTTATTAGCGTATTGTAAGAAACAGTATCCGGAATAAAACCAGTTTCCTCTATGGATGCAAACACATCAAGCATTTCATACACACGGCCTGTCTGACCCAAGATATCTAGAACGATATTATATGTGACCAAGTCCAGACCATAACTCTGCCTTTTAAGATGTTCAAATAGCACTAAGGACTTGTCTTTCTGTCCACATTTGGCAAAGGCAAAAATGATATTGTTGATGAAGGATGATGTGGTTATTTCTGATATTTCTTCAAGAAACCTGAGAAGCTCCACACAATCATTTACTTTTGTGAAAGCCTGGGCAAACTTAAGGCATGAAGTTGCACTTGGAGATTTACATGACAACAATAATTTCTTGAAAATTTGACAAGAAAGGTCAATGTCATTCTTCTGACTTGTCTCCACTAATATGAGATTATACACATCAGGAGTAACAAAAATGTTTTTATCACTTAAAGTTTGTAGCATTTTACTGGCAGCTGAAAGATTTCCAGCCTTGCACATCTTATTGATATATGTGTAATAGACTTTTACACTGGGTGCTGGTGCATTTTCAACAGTGGCAAGAAATTCTTTCAGGACTTCATCTGTCACTCTCTCTATGCCAGGGGACACCTCTGTTGAATAAACCTGAAAACTGCCAAGTGCCAATGAATTAACTTTTACTGGTTAAAATTTAAAAACAGTCGTATTTAAAATAGTTTGGTTGTGATGGGAATGATACAGATCAATATTGTAACGGCAATCATAAATCATAATCATTTAGACTAAAAAAATTTTGAGTTAATTAATTGTGCATTCTTCATAAAGAAGTTTAAATCAATGATAATCCAAGACAGCTGTGACTGAAAACTGCTTATCCAAAAGACATTTACTTGTATAATGCTGCCAAATGCCAAACATTCAAAAAATGACATGAGACCATAAAAAAGTAAGCCAAGTATTAACTATTTAGGGGCTAAAGCTAAACTAAAATAAGTTGCCACTTGCCATAGTGTAGACCTAGGCATGAACTTGAAGTATACTATATGTCAAAATTCATTTATATATCAAAGTGATATATATATATATATATATACACCTTTATCTGTGGAACTTATAGACAACCTCACCTTAGAGACAGTTTTGTGTCCTCTTGCACTCCTTAACATATGAAACAATATTTTCAATGCTTCCTCAACTCTCACACTGGTCATTTCTTCATGATAAAACAAGTTTGAACCTCAACAACAACAATAACCACTCAACTTACAGTAAAATCCAAAGTTATTGTGCATAACAAATTACAAAGGCAGTAAGTAATATATTGATAATCATCACTCACGAGCGGAGGTTCTGAGACCCACCCACCATAGGAACTCTATATACTTTCATTCAAAGCAGAGTAAATAATTAGAAGAAACAAATGGAGAGAAAAAAAAAAAAGAAAAAAAAAAAAGATTTAGAGAGGTACCGAATGGTTGTCGAAAGAGGAGAGCAGAGTTTGAATCGAAAGCGGAAAAGAGAAAGTTTAATCAGCGAAAAGCACCTCACTGTTGCACCTCCTAACATCATTCGCAGATCAAATCAGATTACCTCGTTTGTGTTTTTTACGTTTTAGGGTGCACACATAAACAACCCAAGAAATAATGTTGTTTATGTTTGTGTTTTTACAGAAAAGCCCCTGTATTAAACCTCGTAATTTGGGTGCGGAGAAGAACACGTCATTATTCAATCCCGATTTGTGCACCGGAGGAATTCTCTGAACAGTGAATCAAACCGTTGAATTCATGAGGCATTTTAATGATTCAGATAATTTTAAATTCTAAAAATTTAAATTACTTTCAATTAAATTTCTTTTCTTTTCTAAAAAAAATTATTTGGATAGAGTAATTTTAATACATTTCAATTACTTTATTTAGATATAATATTTCAACTTTTATCTAAGCAAAATTTTATTTTTAAATATTTATTAAGAAATTAAACTTTTAATATTTAATTTACTAAAAAATATTAAATAATTGAAATTAATTTTAATATTAAAAAAAAATTAATCATTCAGAAATAGTACTAAACATTGTATTTAATTATTTTTTCCTCAATAAAGTTACAAGATATTTTTAATTCACAATGTATTTAAAACCTACAAAATATCATTAACTACTATAATACATTCATAATACGAAATGATTATTTTAAATTAAAAAAATCAATTTTGATTATAAATCGTTGAAAATAACAATATCACATAAATTTCAAAATAAACATCATAGGTATTTTAATTGCATGTATTTTCATATCAAGATAAGATAAAAATATATATATTTATTTAAAAATAGTTTATCTAAAATATCAACATCACAAATTCATTTTGATTACTAAGACAAATAGGATAATATTTGATTTCAAGGCCAAATATCTTCACCTTCTAAAAATGCAAAACCTACAAAATTAATAATGTTACATAATTACAGTATATGAAATACCAGCAACGTAGCTTGGTCCCTCTAGCAACTATTTAAAAAACATTATTCATGAGAGGAATTCTCGCTAGAGTTAACAAATCATGAGAAAATCTTAATCAGCATTACATTATCTCATTCAATTTTCTCATGAACAGAATTTTTATCGGCTAAAATATATTTTTAATTTTTTAAATTTAAGATAAATTTATTTTTATTTTTTAAAATTTAAAATAATTTTTTTAATTTATATAATTTTTTAAAATTTTGTTTTAATCCTTTAAGTCATTAATAATATATTTAAAAGTGACAAATTAAAAAAATTATACAACATCAATTAAAATTACAAAAACTAAAAATATCAGTTTTAAATTTTAAAGACTTAAAACATATTTAAATAATTTTTATTTCATGATTTAGACAACATGCATCAATCAAATTTAATAAGATCAAAGTGATGGCCTAAATTAAAGTGATGGCGTAAATTAGTTTCTACCGAATAAATCAACCATATTTAACACATGGATAAAAGAAAAAAAAAGTCATTTGACACAAAGCAAATTAATTTAATTTGTGCATATCTATATCATCCCCCACATTCATTATGAGATGCTTATAGAAAATTAGAAACTACTCAAGTTAACATGAAAGATACTTAATCATTCAATCACACGTATCAATCCAATATACTTAACAATTTAATTCCAAAACTGACCAAAAATTTATAAAGATATGGCTAGGTAAGGCTCAATCGATTAGAAATATGCCAAAATTTATATAGTTGCTTGGTCATAGCAACTATTTTAGTTGAGGAAAATAATATATATATATATATACACA